TCGCCACCTGCAGTCACGGCCCCCGCCCCCCGCAACCCGCCCCGCAAGGCACCCGCGGCCCCTCGGGACGCGGTGACACTGGCGACCAAAAGCCAACAGCGATCAACTCGCCCTCAGTCTAAGCATAAAGTGACACCACCAGTGAACTAATGAAAAGGATTTTTACACTCAGCCGACGCGGATAAGCCATCACAGGTCGGAAGCACGTCTGTCTGTCCGTCAGACACCGCACAGGTCCCGCGCCAGTCACAGCACCGACAGACACGGAAAGTTCACACGGGGGGCAGGGGAGAGAGGAAAGGGGTGGCTCTTCGTTGAGTGTTACACTCGAATAGTTCTCATATGACGTCTTTCGAGAAGAAAAAGCCATGACATCACTGGTGATCGACTCACATCCATTAGATTAAAACGAAGCGAAAATACCGGGGCTTAAAAGCAGCAGCAGCTCAGTAAAGCCGTCGTTCTATTCAGCAGAAGAGAACTCGTATTACAAACGCATTACAATCTATTTAGCTTGATCATTATTTTGTCTGTCTTGGAAGATGAAGCACAGCCAGATGAAAACTAATGAATGCAACATGTGTTCATTCTTTTGGTAGCCGTGCCTGAAGCCAACTGGCAGAGACCACAGGAAGATAAATGTCAAAACAAAACTATTTGTGAATATATACTGCATATATGTTGCCTCATCTCCATCATACTTCACATAGTTTATTATTTTTAAGCTTTGCAAGCATATTAAGTAACTCTGGATTAAAGTTTTGATTTTCAGACAACTCTGGGATAGAAGAAAAAAAAATAAAAGTGACACGGGGGAAGTCCATATCTCCATTCAAAAACAAGGAGTGGCAGCACCTTCTTCCACCCTCACTAACAGCTGATAAGAAGGTTTGTAACAACACATATAGATAAGACAACACACAATGGTTTCTGTACGTTTCCCACAGAATTATCAGTCTATGTAATTTCAGCAGTATCTTCATTTTTCCAGCAGCTCCTGACACAACAAAGGAATCAACCTTTGCAGCAATTTAAAAAAGAGAAAGGCAGTCAGCTGAAAGCAAGTCTGCAGTACATAGCCAGTTAGCCAACCATCATGATTAATAAAAGGAATGCACTGAGAAAATGAATGGTGGAAAACGATAAAGGGTAAAAGGCAAGGGCACACAGTTAAGGAAAGTGTCCCTTCTAAAGGCACGGGCTTCAATACAGCCATGGCAACACGGAAAATCCATAATTCTAACTTGTCCCAAGCACTATGTTACATCACATAATCAAATCAAACAATCTTAATTGCAGGACAAAAACTATGACGCCTAAAAAGACATCGCAGGCAAAAATCCTCCGTGAGGCCAAACAGACCATTGTATGTGCTGGAAAAGACCAGCATAGAGAGCAGAAAGAGGCTTCATTTGCCAGTTTAAGTGGCTGTTAGTGCTCCAAATGATGACAGATTACATACAACTAGCAGGAAGCATCCAATGTAGTTCAAACTAATAAATTTTTTTAGAATGTCTCATTTTTAGAGTAAGAAAGACATTTTGTAAAGAAAATAAAATCTTTTCTTGGTATGGTAGGATCTCCTACCATACTAAAAGGATATGAAATACTGGTATTTCTAGATATCTATGACTCTGCTTTTTAGCTCTAAAAAGAATGGATTTCCTCAGCATACCAAAAAAAAAAAAAAAAGGCTGCATTAGGACAGTATTTTAGATAGAACTTAATGCCTGCCAAAACAAAGCATGCAGGGTGAGGCAGAAGGAACCAAGGCAAATGTCAGAGCACCTTCAGAATAATTTTCTGAATGCTTATGTTTGAAATAAGATTTCAGATGGCCCACTGTATACCGACCAATGTGAAAACAGTAGAAGCACTCTCAATCCACCCATCATCTGTTCCTTCCTGGGCTGAGTACTGGGATCAAAATTCCTTGGTGTGCCCTAAAATCTCTTAACAAAGTCTTAATTCCTCAACAGGATTTTTAACTCTTCTAGCTCTGGGCTAAAGCTGTCCTGAGCAATCTTGCTGTGACCAACAGCTGACTGCTGCTAACCTTTTCAGGATAAAACACCATCTCAGGCTCCTCTTCCCTGCTGTTATTTAACATGAGTGGTGGAGGATGAGGACGTACTCCTCTCAAGTATTGTACGTAAGCAAAATGATGAAACCAGTACTTCAAATATGGCACAGATCAAAACAAAACACATACAACACAGGCAAGTAACCTTTGCCAACAAAATATCTTGGAACATGAGTGGTACAAAGTAAGCAAGTAACCTTTGCCAACATAAAAATATCTTGGAACATGAGTGGTACAAAGTACAGTGCTACACCATGAAAAAACCAACCCTTTTTGTTCTAACAGAATAAGGCCAGTTAAAGATCAGGAACAGAGCCCTGCACACTGCACAAGTATGGATTCGTTGTGTGTTTGCACTCGACATATGGATAATTAGTAACATCATACATGTGGTAAGAACAGATGATATCTCCAAGACGCCAGCAGCAGCAGATTATGAACCTACAAAACTACTCATTTTTTGTAGACACACTTCAGGTTTTCACACACAAAAATACACTCCATCGCTTTTCTTCAAAGGTGGGAGCAAACTGTCCCTCCAGTTTTTGAAGAGAGACAAAGTGATGACTCCAAAGAGTTCCTGCCTTTCACATTAAGAAAAGGAAGAAGCAGGTCTCCTGCCTAGACCCCAACCATTACCATCCACTGACCCAGACTCAACCAAGGGAACTGGGGGTGCCACCACCACCCTCAGTGGCACTGACTGCAGAAAAGATGCCTTCTGTCCAGGACACCTTTAGTCATTAAATATCATAGAGGAAGATCACTTACTGAGTTTCCTTGGCAAGCAATCCTGCTACCAAGAAAATAACTGAAGTTACATGGAATTTGGAAAAAGTTAAAGTTTGTTTTCACAGAACAAGGGTCTTTTATCTCCTTCAAATTTAGGAAATTGTACAACTAAGAGATTCAGCATGAGGTAGTCACCTATCTTCCCTTCAAAGGATTGTCCCTCCCTACCTTTCCTTCAGAAAACCCGTAGCTGTAACTACCTAAATAACGTAAAGTGATAACTGTACTGAGACTAGTTAAATGACTTTCTTGCTGTTGAGCTGCAAGAGGGCAGCACTGGTTAATTCTCTTTCTTCATATGTATAAAACCCATCATGTTTCCACTGGCAAACAGTCCTTCAATCATTTTGATTTCTTCTTTCTGAAAAGAAACTGCAGCAATGTTTCAGTTGGCAATTCACCTCATTGCCCAAAAGTATCACCTTTCACCAGCTGCACGCGTCTCTGTTCCAGTATTACCTTTACGCCATGGAAAAGAGAGAATAACAATTTCTTTAATAACTACCCAGTTCCTAAAGACTTGAAGCTTTTTTTTCCTTTTTTCCTTAGGAGGGGGAGAATTCTTTCTGAAATCAACAGACTGCTTTTAAAACCATGTTTACCTGCAATTGCCTAACTGGCCCAACAAATCAAAACCATCTCATCAAATGAGAGAAAAATAATTTAGCACAGCTTTAAAATACACACTTCAGTTAAGAACACTCATTGCATTAGGCCCCTTTCCAACTGGACTTGCAAGGCACACAGAGGTTAGTAAGCTCTGAAGGACAAGGACAGCCACACACAATCCAGGGCTCTCATTAATGCTTGCAGGATGCAGCAGCCTCTGCTCATACCTCCTCTTCACTCCAGGTGCTGGCACTATAATAAAACCTATTCTCTGAAGCATTAATACCAAGAGTGACAGAAGGCAGGACCTTTGGCTACAATTAAGGTCACTTACAGTTGGCATACGGCACTACTGCTAAAATAAGCATCCTGGCCCTCTCCTGCATCCATCTCATCCTCATCCTACTCCTGCCACTGGCGTAACTGCTCACATGGCTGCACAGGGAAGCACACTGGGAGACTGAACAGCATGAGAATTAAGCCATCAACTCCAAACCAGGAAAACTCACAAGGCCAGTTGCTTGGCATATGGCACAACAAACCATGTTGCAGCTACAGGGAGGGTGGCAGCACTCTCTGGAAAGAGCAGCAGGAACAGTGCCCATCACAGCTCTGCCCATGGATAACTTCAGGTGTTTGTGAAACAGCTACCCCTGTAAATCACGTTTCACTGCCTGAAGACTGAGCAAAGCAAGAACTGATACAGTAGAGAGTGAAGTCCCCAAATGAGCAGGGCCAGGGTCAGACACAGCAGGGAGCATACAGAAGTGCCAGCAGCCATTCTCTTATCAACCCTTCCAGACTCTAAACTTAGCTCCTTTGTCCTACAGGCATTTTTTTGAGAGCTAACATGAAGAAAACATGAGAAATAGGTGTACATTGGACCATAAAAGCTGTCCTGAGGCTGCCTCCACAACTAAACCATACCTGTGTCCATGCAGTCAACCATCTCATCAAAGGGATCTGAATGGGGAAAATTATATATTTTTTTAAATCTCATTACTTTACTGAAAAAAGAAAACCTGCAAACAATACAAAGCCCTTCGATTGCACACAAATATTTTAAGAATAACCCCCTCGATGTCTGTTCTTGTCAGGTGGGGTTTCTGCTGCATCAGCTGCTGACTCTAGTCTGCAGAGGCAGCTGTACCAATGCAACATGGGGAACAGGTAGGGTAGCTATGTTTAAGGCTGGTATTTCACTGAGCATACCATCAAACCACAGCAGTATCATGCCTTCCACTGGCTGCTTGGACCACTTGCACAGCAGACTGCTTGCAGATGCTTTCCTGCCTACCCATCAAAAGCAATATGGAAACAGTCAGCAAACAAGATGAAAACAGCCAGGAAAAGATTTCTCCCACAAACTTTATTTTAAGCATATGTGTTTTTTTTTATTTTGAGCATACTGACCACAGTCCAGACCATGTGTCCCAAATGGTGGCCCATGAAAACATGCAACCCTGCCTCTGAGGAAAGGAAGAGTCTTAACAGTAGCATCCCCGTTATGTGCAGACTGTGTTTTTATGGAGATAGTCACAGTTTCATCTCTGGTGGAGAATCTACAGTCTCAAACACACAACATAAGGGTTATTTTTAAAGCTATAGGTTCACACAAGATTGTTAATATGAAGAAATTCCATTTTCTGAAAACTATCAACAAAAGTTTAATTCTTAATAAAGATGGCTAATCAGTAGTCCTAGGCATAACAAAGCTATGGTTATGGACTAGTTACAGTTCAGTAACTGCTGTCGAATCATTCAGCTCATGCCAACAAAAAGAAAAATTAAGCTTTTGCCATGCAGAAGTGGGGAAATAGCAGGGGAGAGACCAACTGCAAAAGTGTTTTCTAACAAAGCACTTCCAAAGAGTGTCCACTTCTAGA